AGAAGAAAAAGTAAACACCCATCCATCCTGCATCGTTTACCTCCCAAACCTGCTTCTCCCCAAGGATGCGTCTGACCTTCCCTGGTTGGTAGCATCACTGCTTGCTCGGCTGTCCGTCAGAAAGCTAGAGTGCAAGGTGGTGGGAGGAGAGGGCCTCATGCTCCCATCTCACCCATGTTGTTACTGCCAGTGCTCTTGGGTCGGTTCACTCATGGCCACCCTCCTGAGAAGAGAACTGAGAGCTGCCTGGGCCTGCGCCCTCCTCACAGACGGTACTGGGCATCTCACTGAGAACCTTCTCTCTTCCACGGACCCTCTGCTTTTCCAAACGAGATGTCTTCTGCAAGGACCCGTAGTTTTGGATTGCATGCCCAGAGGACCCAAGAAGTCAAAATATCCTCGGATCTAAGGAGTATTCGGGCTGTGCTTCCCGTAATCTGTGGGACACAAGGACGATTCAAAATAGTTTGTGGGGAAAAGGAAGTAAAGATAGTGGAATTTTCCCCAAAATTGTTGGCGCCTCCTCATATTTAATATTCTTTGCTAACACCGACCGTAGTCGGAAGGTGCCCATTCTTACTCATCGGCCAGCTTTTCTCAGCCTACAAGGCCATTGAAAATATGACTCAAGCCAGGCACACCCCAGTCCTCCGAGTGAAATCTTTGTTTTTATTTTTAACGCGTTAAAGTACTCTTTTGCAGCAGACGAGCCCAATGCAATACTGCACAAAATGGTTTTGCTTTTAAGCCTGATGAACTGCTTGTGTTTTGGCTCATACCAGCATCCCTTTCCCCATCTCTTCCTTCCTCTTGCATCGTCTCTCCCCTCAACCCCCAGTCAGCCTCTCTCTACCGCCTTGCCCCAGCCTAACTCTCTTCCAAATCAGTCCCTTTGTGACCTATAAAGTCAGCTTCCATAGTGCACATCTCCGCCTGCCACTACCCTGCTGAAAATCCTGTAGGGTACATCCAGAGAGGCAAAGTTGTACAGACAGAACACAGATTACTGGTTGCCAAGAGCTGGGGGGCGTGATGTTTCCAGTGGGACATGGGGTCCCCCACCGGGATGATGAAAACGTCTGTAACCAGATGTGTTGATGAAGACAGGACATTGTGACTGTACTAACTGCCGCTGAATTACACACTTTGCTCCGGTTAAAGTGGTCAATTTTATGTGTGGTTTGTTGTTGCTATTAGGTGCTATCTAGTCAATCTTTGTGACAGAGTAGCCAACTCCTTTACGGCTTTCTGTTCTGCAATCTCTATGGGAATACGACATTTTCCACATGCCACATGGACAGAAATGACAGATGCATCCGTGTAACAAGCACAGTGCACACAAGAGACTGATGTGCAAGGGGGTTGCATGCTTTGCAAGCACTCATACACACAATGTGCACATTACACACACACACACACACACATACACACAATGCACATGTTATTGATGCAAAGATAGGGTAGATTCTCAGGTTGAGAGAGGTGGTTTTGAACCTTTGTGTCAGCAACTGAGCATCTAACCATTGGACCACTAGACTGACCCCTTTGTGCATATTTACCATGATATACAATAAATACAATAATAGGATAAAGTCCACTCACCCCAGCAGGAGTCATATGAAGCTTTACATGGCCTCCTTAGCACATACCTGTCCAATTTCTCCTCCTATTGTCTCCCTTAGCCCCACTGAGGGACCCTGATGGTGTAGTGGGCATGCAGTGATCTGCTAAGCATAAGGTCAGCAGTTCAAAACCACCAGCTGCTCATCAGGAGCAAGATGGGGCTTTGTACTCCCTTAAAAAAGCTACAGTCTTGGAAACCCCCCGGGGCGTATCTGCCCCATCCTACAGGGTCACTATGAACCGGAACTGACTCGATGGCAGTGAGTTTGGCTTTTGCTTTGGAGCCCAGCAACATGAGAAGAACATAGATCACTGCACATGTCATCTGCTTCTTCTGTCTGGAGCGAACCCCCCACACTCACCCACTCATCATTACCTGCCCAGTGATCTCCTCCTTCAGCACCCAGCTCAGAGGAAGCTGTGGAAAGCCTCCCCTGACACGCGCATGTCAGCAAGCCCAGAGTGCACTTCCCCTAACAGCCTCTCTTCTAGAAAGGCAAAAGTGGGCAGCCGTGACCACATGTCCGTGTTTCCAACTCCAGGGAGAGTTGTATTGTTTTCTTACAACTGAAATGGAATGAGGCTTTAAAGCATTTGTGTAACCCTCCTTAACTTCATGGCACCTGTGTGACCCTCCTGGAACATCTGGAAGCCATGAGTTTAGAGGTGTCCGTTCTACCATGGAAGCACCCAGAAATAGGCAGCTTCTGGTGCTAAGGCTGTGTCTACCCAGTGAGCCTTTCCATTCATTTTGCCCAGATTCAACATGTAATCAGGGCCCTGACACCCTTGGTTACCTCTGAACACCATCCTTCAGCACAGATTACATCTAGACATCAAATACAAATGCTCAGAACTAGACCAGTAAGTAGCATCATGATACATGGAGAAGTATTAACACTGTGAAGGTTTTTATTTTACTTGGATACACAATCAATACCCATGGAAGCAGCAGTCAAAAGATCAAACAACATATTGCATTGGGCGAATCTGCTCCAAGATACCTCTTTGAAGTGTTAAAAAGCATCCGAAGCAAACATGTCACTTGGAGGAGTCAGGTGTCCCTGACCTAAGTCATGGTATTTTTTAATATATAAGGAAGATTGAAGAACTGATGCCTTTGAGCTATGGTATTGGGGAAGAGTATTATATATGCTATGGGTGGCCAGAAGAAGAAACAAATTTGTCCTGGAAAAAGTACAGCTTGAAATGAGGGTGCGGACACATCCTCTCACCTACTTGGGGTCATGTTATTGGGAGGGACCCGTCTCTAGAGAAGGACTTGGGCTTGGTGAAGCAGAGGGCCAGCTGAAGCAGAAGACCCTCCGTGGATGAGTGGCACAGTGGGTGCAGCAGTAGACACACATAGCAATGATGGTGAGGATGGTGCAGGGCCAGGCAGAGTCTGGGTCCCTTGTACACAGGGGTGCTGTGAGTGGGATTTGACTTGAAGGTCCCTAACAACAGGGGTGGAGCCCTGCAGTCTGTTTCAATAAGCCCAAGCACTTGATACATGCTCAAGTTTGAGAATCATTATCTAAATAATGATTCTCCCTTTTAAATCAAGATTTTTGGTGTTGATGTGGGCACACTGGATCTTCTAGGGTAGTTAGGTTGATAGGGCCCCCTGGATTGTTTGGAATAATAAGAATAATGATAAAACTGGTGATCGCAACTCACTTTCACTGAATGCTGTAACAGGAAAAGCATGGTGCCAAGTGCTTCACAGATATCATTCCATTAAATCCTCACACAACTCACAATGTGCCATACTGCCTTATGTACTGGACTGCTAAGGACATTGAGTCTCAGCGAGGTTAAGTTACTTACCCAGGGTCACACAGCTTGAAGCTATCCCACTCTTGTCTGCCAAGCGCAGGCCAGAAAGCCAAGTACGATGTTATCTATACCTCATTAGCCAAAGCTCTGGTCCTCGAGGCAGAATGACCTTTCAGCTCTTGGGCACTGAGCTTATTGCTGTTCCGGACCAGTGCTGCCAAATCATTTCCAGTGGAAGCAGTTGGAATTTGTCACCCATATGACTTACAACTCTCAGCTGAACAAAAGTTGCACAGATCCTTGGCCAAGCCAGAGATGTAGATGGGAATCTATGGGAAGAAAACCCTGGCCTGGGACTGTGGGGAGAGCAAATGTTCCCTGGAGTTAAGGGAAGGTCTTTTTGCCAGACCTTTGCTCACTTTCAGTCTAAGACACAAAGCAGGGCATGCCGGGTTCTGGACGAAAGCGTGGGCATGGTGCTAGATCGGTTCCACTGGAGTCACAAGGAGATGCATTCACATGCCTACTGATAGAGCACATGACGGGCATCACTCCAGGCCATCTGGAAGTCATGACCCCTCTCCACTACCTGCCTCAGGGGGTGGATAAGTGAATGAGGTTCTATCCAAATGTAGGAAATGGTTAAGCAGACCCGTTTGATTCAAGCACAGGGGTGCTTGCGTGAGAAGTCGAGGGTGTACTCGGAAACAGTCTTCTGAGAAAAGTCCGCTGCACAAGGACTCCTGTTGGAGCTCGCTCATGTGAACTAACACAACGCTATCACCGTTCCATTCTATTTTCCATCAGCTTTTCGAAGGCCCCTCATACAGAAACCTAAGATAAATTAGTGGATACTAGGCTTAAGGGAGAGTGAGAAAAAAGGACTTTATGCTTCGGGGGCACTGAATGTATAGAATGTGGAATCATTGTAAAAGGACAGAAGATAATATTGATCACTGAATGATACATGGAAATAATGTTTGGTGTTTTTAATATATTTTTTCACTACAGTATAAAAAGAGGCAGTGAAAAGGGGGGGTGGGGGAGGTAGAGGAGAAGGAGCAGAAAAGGACAATGACGAAGACCACTATGACAGCAGGGTTCTAGCTAGTTCTCTTCAAATTGGGGCCTTACATCTTGACAAAGAAAACCCAGGCAGCTCAATCCCAAGAGGAAAATGACAAAGTGTGATGTTCAAGCCTGATACATGTGAAGGATGACCGCAGTGTGGTCATCTATCTAAAAGACTCCCTACTTGAAGGCCCCTCTTGTGAAAGCAGAAGAGCCCTGGTGGCATAGTGGAAATAAGCTCTCCTCTTAACCAGAAGGTTCCCAGTTCAAGCCCAGAGGTCACCTTGGAAACTTTGGAGCAGTTCCACTCTGTCCTACACGATTGCTGTGAGTCAGAGTTTGACTCGCTGACAAGTCTACTTTTCATTACTAAAGCTATCGAAAACAAGATGGTCCCAAAGTATAGATTAGTAGAATATATTAGGATATCATGTAAGCAATAAGTCTGTGGTGGTCTAAATTAAAATATACCATATATTCAGAATGTTTATCTCTCTAAATGTTAATGTTTCTTTTCTTTCTTTTAGGTAATTGTTCGCGGGGGAGGACACATCTTGCCCTATGACCAGCCTCTGAGATCTTTCGACATGATGAATCGTTTTATTTTTGAAAGGGGGTGGGACCCTTATGGGGAATAACGTCTCTTCCTACAAGGGAAGTTTAGAGATTTTCATGTTTGAAATAGAAAATCTTAAGATTAGAAAATGTCCCCTGAACAAAGACTGTCTTTTTAAAACTCTCTGTAGAATGTTTCTCATCAATTACAAACAAAGCACCTTGAAACAAATGAGTGTTTATTTGGGGGAGTGGGGGGCGACGGAAACTACTTACTGTAAAATTAACTTGTCAAAAGCACTCTGCATGAGTAAACATTCCAGGCCTGATATTAAAGTATGGAAGGAGTGGTTTCTGTGACCGTGATGCAGACAGAGGCGGTCAGAGAATGTTGGAGCTATAACTTTCAAGTCCACTTTCAAGCCCCGGAGGAGTACGTGTTGGGCTGCAATCCCAATGGTTAGACGTTGGAAACCATTGTCAGCTGCTAGGGCAGTGGTTCTCAACCTGTGGGTCGCGACCCCTTTGGGGGTTAAACGATCCTTTCACTGGGGTGGCCTAAGACCATCAGAAAACACATAAATAGGGGGATCCCAGGAAGATGGCCGCCAGATAAGTAGCCCACGTCCGGAGCTTCGAGGAAATCAATGAGTGGGAAGAGTTGGAGGTGGGGTAGGGGTACCAAATTTGTCTGTTCGATTCCCAAAACCACTCAGAGCATCTCTCAGACACAGAAGTGGACTCCCACCCATGGCCAGGGCTCCGCGCAGACACCTGTGGTCTCTGGTGCAGTACTCCATGGCCAGCTCTGCTGGGACCTGCACCACAAGGCAGCCAGGTGCATGGCGGAGGCTGCGTCTGCCTCGGAGCTCCACACAAAACCGCCAGTCAGTAACCCCTCACCCCGCATCAGGGAACCCGGGGGCCATGTGTGTGCTCCAACCAGCATACCCCCTCCACCCCATGCAGATTAAGGCCCTACCTGGGCACCCCTCGTGGTACAGCAGACCAGACCATCCCCCCTGCCCCCCAGAGGCGCACTCCTAGCACCACAGCCAGGCAGAAGGCAGAGACTGAGGACCTGCCTCTGGGCTCCACGCAAACCGCCAATCAGGCCTTCCTGCATGCTCAGAGGTCATAGCCCAGAGGAGCCCGCCCCATCACTGCACTCCTTGCAGATCCACCAGCCAGCCCTCTCCCTGGGCCTCCCCACCTCCCCCACCCCTCTACACACACACACACACACACACACACACACACACACACACACTCAGAGATCACCATCCTGCCACACAGCTTCAGGCCGGCCAAGCAGAGGACCCAAGTCTGGCAGAACCTTTTGGGCTGCAGCATAGGAACCCAAGCCTTTGGGGCTTTCTCACTGCATTCTCCCTTCGCACTGCTCACCCTGTCCCACCCTTTGGGCTCCAAGCAGTGCATTTGTACACCAGTCACTGTACCCCTACCACCTGCCTACCTGAAGGAAGTGCCCCTAGCCAGAAACAGATCACCCAATCCCCAACCCATCCCCTAAATACACCCCCACCTACACTGGGGCCAATACTTTCTATCAGACCGCAGCTTGCACAGCTGCAAACAGCCCCTAAGGAGACCTGAAGGTGGCTGGAGCTCAAACCATAGGAGAAGGCCAGAGGGAATCCTCAGCAGGACAAAGGTGACACACAACCCCTCAAGGCAGTTGGCTAAAGGCACCCAGCTGAAGCACCAACCTCCCAAAGAGAGCTCAGGGCTCTGCGACACCCGGGAAAATGGCACCAAGTGCCCACAAATCGAACAAAAAACAGCAAGCTGCTTCCACAGCTTCAACAAGAAAAGAGAAACAACATCCAATGCCAGAGGACCACCTGGACCTAACAGCAGTCATAGAAAGGGCAGAGGTTGACCTCCCACAGAAATAAATCTTCAGAATGCTGTCTGGAGCCATACAGGACATGAGGGAAGCATTACAGAAAAAGGATGAAACGATAGAGGAATTAAAGGCTATGCACCAAAGGGAAATACAGGAGTTAAAGGGCGAGATAACAAAACCTAACAGCAAACTCACAGACTTTGCCCAGAGAATGGAGGAGGCAGAGAACCGCACCAGTGACCTAGAGGATTCACAAGCAGAAATTAATAAATGTGAGAGAAACTCTAACAAGTCCATTAGAGAAGCTGAAGAAAACCTCAGAGCTATGTCTGACACTATGAGAAGGAACAACATCAGAATTATCGGCTTGCAGGAAGAATCCACATCAAAGAAACCAACATCCAAAATAGTGATGGAATGCTTGGAGGAAAACTTTCCGAACTTAATGAATGAAAACCAGGCAACTATTCAGGAGGCTGAAAGAACACCAGCTAGACTGAATCCCCAGAAGAAGTCACCAAGACATATAGTTGTTAAACAATCCAACTCTGAGGAAAAGGAGAAAATAATGAGAGCATTAAGAAGAAAACAGACAACCACATCTAAAGGCAAGTAGATAAGAATATGCTCAGACCTGTCAGCAGACACTATGAAGAAGAGGAGACAGTGGAGGAGCATATTCCGAAAATTACAGGAAAATAACGCAAACCCAAGAATACTCTATCCAGTGAAACTCTCTTTCAAAATAGATGGAGAAGTGAGAGTCTTCCCGGACAAGGAAAAACTCAAAGAATATGCTAAAAGGAACCCAGCACTACAAAAGATCCTCACTGACCCAGTATGGGCAGAAGAACAACCATCACCAAGCACATACAAGAGACCACCACACAGAACAACACCCAGAGACCATCAAAGGGAAAACAGCCCCCAAGATAAAACTGGCTCAACAATGGAAAAAAGGGAAGAATGAACCGCAAACACACATATGCACAATCCACGGAAAAGAAATGGAGGTAGGAAAACACCCAACACAAGAGAGATAAAGTGACATCACAGGGTCCACAGATAGATGTAATAACCCTGAATATTAATGGGTTGAACTCAGGCCTTAAGAGACAGAGGCTAAGAGACTGGCTTGGAAAACACAAACCTTTGATTTGCTGCCTACATGAAACACATCTCAACATTACAGATAAAAACAGCTGAGAATCAAAGGATAGAGACATTATCAGGCAAACTCTAATTCAAAAAAAGCAGGGGTTGCAATCCTAATCTCAGATAAAATTGACCTCCAAGTGCAAATCATAAAAAGAGATAAGGATGGACACTATATAATGCTCAAGGGAGCATTATATAAAGAACCAATAAGCATTCTAAACATTTACTCACCAAATAAGCATCCAGCAGAATATGTCAAGCAAACACTTCAAAGGATGAAAAAAGAAATCACAGCCTCAACAATTATAGTAGGTGACTTCAATACACTGCTCTCTGAGAAAGACAGAACACTTGGAAAAAAGTCAACAAGGAGACTAGAGATTTAAACACTACAATTAGACAATTTGACCTGATAGATATCTACAGTGCTCTCCACACAAACAAAAAAGAATTCACATTCTATTCTGGTCCACATGGCACATTTTCTAAAATAGATCACATGCTAGGGCATCAGTCGAATCTACATAAATTCAAGCACATTGATATCATACAGACCTCTCTCTCTGACCACTGTGCCATAAGATTGGAAATAAACCAAAGGAAGATAAGGAAAGTAAGGGCAAACTATTGGAGAATGAATAAATCTCTACTGCAAAAGGAGAGTGTACTGGCTCAGATCAAAGATGAAATTAGGAAATTTCTAGAAACCAACAAGAATGAAAACACGACATACCAAAACTTATGGGACACAGCAAAGACAGTCATCAGAGGTAGTCTCATAGCATTACATGCGCACATAAAGGAGGAGAGGCATATGATACACTGACACAAAATTTACAGCAACTAGAGCAGAGTCAGGAAGAAAATCAAACTAACAGAAAAAGACAAGAAATAATAAGAATTAGATCTGAGATTCAGGAGAGAGAAAATAAGAAAATTATGGAACAAATCAATGCCGCTAAAAGTTGGTTCTTCGAACGGATAAATTGAATCGACAAACCTCTTGCGAATTTGACCAAAGGAAGGAACGCATTTCAATAGCAAGGATGAGGGATGAAAGAGGGAATATTACAATGGACCATAGTGAAATCAAAAGGATAATTACACACTACTATGAAGGACTGTACTCCAATTAATTCAAAAACTTGGAAAACATGGATGAATTCTTGGAAAAACAGTCCCTCCCCAGACTATCCCCAATGCCCATCAAAAACCTCAACAGATCCTTTTCAGTAGAAGAAATAGACAAGGCTGTCAAAGAATTAAAAACTAAGAAGGCTCCA